ATCTCTAGTATGTTTCCTTGCAAGCAATCATGTGCTTACTTCTTTGGGGTGAATCAAAGGCTCACGCAGAATTGGATTTAGTGGTGGCTACAACGTCCCACTCGAGGCGAACCCATTTAATTCCTGGGCCAAGGTCATTGACTGTGGTGACATTCCTGTGACTTCGTAAGTTGCTTTCCCACCTCTCGTGGGCCCCTTGTCGGGTCAGAATGCGTGGAGCGAGCAAGATGCTGATTTGGTCATGTGTATGCAGGTACGACAACGGATATGCGCTTCAGCAGATTGAACAAGGTCACAACTTGCTGTTGAGCCGAGAACCATATACCCATGCCGACAAGCCCGGTCCCTCAAAGAAGGGTACCACACTTCCTCGTTTAATCACCCTCGGAGGCGACCATACCATCACACTCCCTCTCCTCCGTTCCATCAACCGTGAATACGGTCCCATCACCGTCATCCACTTTGACAGCCATCTGTAAGCTTCAATTCACCTTATCCTTTCTTTCACTCCCTTCCACACACCCCTTCAACAACAACAACAACAACAACAGCACAATAATCTAATACCTGCAAGCGACACATGGCGTCCCAAAGTCTTTGGCGGCGCCCCCTCGGAACAAGCCAGCATAAACCACGGCACCTACTTCTTCCACGCCGCACAAGAAGGCCTGCTCGCCAACGACACCAACATCCACGCCGGCATCCGGACCACGCTGTCGGGCCCTTCCGACTACGAAAACGACGGCTACTGCGGCTTTGAGATTGTCGAGGCACGCGAAATCGACAAGATTGGCATCGATGGCATTGTCAAGAAGATCAAGGACAGGGTAGGCACCGAGAAGCCCGTGTATCTGAGTATCGACATTGATACTCTTGATCCTGCTTGTAAGTTTAATCTGTTGGTTGGTTTGGCCTTGATGGTGGCTGTGATTATGATGATGGGGGCTTGAGAGGTGGGACATGGCTTGGTTTTCTCGATTTGCGACAAACATACTGACGCTTTGCTTCAACAGTCGCTCCTGCAACTGGCACGCCCGAGACGGGTGGTTGGACAACGCGAGAACTCCGCACTATCATCCGTGGCTTGGAGGGTATCAACCTCATTGCAGCTGATATCGTCGAGGTGGCTCCTGCTTACGATACCAATGCTGAGCTTACTACCATGGCTGCTGCGGATACACTTTACGAGGTCATGACTTTGATGGTTAAGAAGGGGCCGTTGAGCTACATGGGTGCTCCTAAGAAGGAGACGATCGAGTTGTAGAGTGGGGAGAGCTTGAAGGATAGGATAGCATGGGAAATGATGTAGATAGTAGGCGTTGACTGGTGACCGAGAGAGGAATTGTTGGGTATGATGCGTTGAGCGCGATTGTGGTAGAGGCGTTCCGGACTTGGACCAGCCATGTATATGACGACAATGATGATGACGATGACACTGAATCAATGCCTTCCAGGGTATACCCTAAGCAATAAGCATGAATCACCCCAGTGATCAGGCCTCCCCCTTGGTGCATACACCACATCCTCCTGATACTCTTCTTCCTTTCCATGTACGCGTCGACTCGTGCATCCAGAGACCTACCCACCCCATCTCATGAAACCAAAAACACAATTCAGTAAAACGCCCATGACGACAGCAACCTGCCTCCTGCGCGTCCAAACCCCCTCTTCTCTAAATCCCCACACCAGACTACCCAGCGGGAAGAAAAAGCCCGTCAAATAACCATACAGCATATCGTCCAGCCCACCTTCTTCCACCGCGAAGCCCGCGCCCCAGCCAGTTTCTCCACCAGCACCTGCTCCTCCAGTTGCCGAAGGATTGGCAAGGGAAGCAGAAGGGTCGTTGGCGGACGAGTCCAACCAGCGATCTTCCAAGACGCGGATTTGCGCGGGCGTGGGCATGGTGTCGGGGGTATGTGTGAAGGACAGGTTTTGAGTAAAAGTGGCGCGGAGCGAAGCTACTTCGTCGCGCGTGAAGCCCGAGGAGAGTAGTCTGTCGAAGCCTTGTGCCGCGGGGACGGTATTCGCTGTATTTGCGGTAGCAGTGGAGCTACGTCGCCGGGCATTGTGGTCTATTGTTGCACTACTACCACTACTACTACTTGTGCGTCGCTGAGAAGGGGTAGTAGATGAGGTTGCGTGCTGCGACTTCAACGCCATGTCAGTACTCTGAGCGAGTGTAGCTTCGCTAGCGAGTTCAGACGCGGATAACGCATCGCCGAGAGAACAGTGTATGTAGTACTTTTTTGCATCTTGCGGGATTTCCGTCGTGGTTCCATACTCTACAGCTGGTGTCTCCCTCAACGGCTCTTTCCCTTTGGCCCTACCACTTCCCTCCCCTCCTCCGTCCCCGCTGCTGTTCTTCGCGTTCCTTGGAGGCGGCGCGAGTGGCGGCGCGAGGCGCAGCGATTTAGACAGTGGATCCGTGTCCGCGAGGACCTTGCCTGCGTAGATCAGACGCAGGCGCGCTGAGGCATGTTCGGACGGGAGGTGTTGCCGTATAAGCTGTTTGAGGCTGAGAGTTGCGATTGTACGAGGTGTGTGGATTGAGAGAGGGAGGTCGGGTACGGACGCTGTGAAGCGTATAATCAAGTATATGAGTTGCTCGGGGAGAGCTGTCGCGTTCACCATGGTGTTAGATGTACAAGACTGCGGCGGGTTCGAGGGGTGGGGCATAGACGAGAGAGAGATTGAATGTGAATATGGTTCCGAGTTATTTCATAAAGGTCGTGGCATCATTAATCGCAATCCTGTGGTCGTTGAGCATTTCAGGCGGGGATCGTTTCGCTCGGGTCGTGCTGTTCGCGCAATCGACGCGGCAGCTCCCCGGAGCTTAACAGCGCTGAGGTCATTATATCCGAAGTATAGCCCACCAAGTCGAGTGCCCCTCTTTACACATGCACCGCGTCACTACGTACAGCATTCTTTCTCAATCGAAGCAACTGAATAACTCCCAAGATGACAATCATTCACATTGTACTTTTCGAGTGGAAGCCCACAGCTTCCCCAGACCAGATTTCAGAAGTACCTCTTGTATTCATCTAAACATACATCATACATGTACTAACACTTCATAGGCGTGCAATCGTATGCTGGGCCTCAAAGACCAGTGCATTCACCCAACATCTCAGAAGCCATACATCAAGTCCTTCTCTGGTGGCAAGAACAATAGCCCTGAAGGTCACAGCGTAAAGGCAGTTCCCATAAATCCTCCTTGCAGCTGCTGACATGCACAGGGCAATTCGACCCATGGTTTCGTAGTCGAGTTTGACAATGAAGAGGACCGCGACTACTACGTGTACAAAGATCCCGCGCACCAAGAATTCGTCAAGTTCGCTGGAGGAGTGGCGAATGGCGTCAAGGTCTTTGATTATGAGCCAGGGAGGATGTAAAATATCGTGTCGAGAACGAGGTAGCAAGCGCACCACACTCTGTGATGATGATGATAATCCAATTATGCCATGTGTATATGTAACGCCCAAGATGCAACGCCGGTAATGCTCCTCTAATGCATAGTGATGGAATCGTAAGGGTATCATGATACGCTGAAGGACTCGCCGCAACCACATTGTTCAGCTAGAATTTGTCAGCTTCTGTTCCTCGTATTATGCTAGAGTAAGACGTACTGATGTTGGGGTTCTTGAAGATGAATCGCTCGTTCAGCTTGTCCTCCAACCAGTCCATCTCACTGCCAATAATGTTCAGCAGCGCCTTGTTGTCGATCAAAACCTTGACGCCATCCTGCTCCACCTGCTCATCCAGCGGGCTTGGCTTGTCCACATACTCGAGGTGATACGCCAGTCCTGAGCAGCCCTTTGCCTTTGTGCCTATCCGGATGAGCTTTGGCTCCGGTAACTCGAGAAGTTCGCGGAGGTGCGACACCGCCGAGGCCGATAGCTTGATAGTCGCTTTCCGTGGACCGAAGTTGTAGCGGCGCGGCCGCAAAGGCTTGCTGGAACCCGGCGCTTGCTGCGACTTCTGTGCCTCGCCCTCGGGTATGCTCACATTCGGTTGCTCGGATGGCGTCGCTGCGACGTGCTCTTGCGGAGGTAGTTGTGGGGTTTTCGCCTTGTTTGCCTCGGCTGCTCCACCCGCTATTGATGTGTCAGGTACACCAGCATTTCTCGGTGGCGGCGGCTGGGGGTGTAGCGAATAGGGTTGATACGCAGTCGCTGTCTGCATCTGCCGCTTAGCTGACTGTCGGTACGCTATCGATGAGGCAAACGTCCGCGCGCATTGCGGGCACCTGCGGGGGGTGAAGGACGGGGCGGCGAATCGTAAGAGTGTCGAGCTGGAGCGCGCGACGGCGGCCGTGGTTCGAGGCAGTGACATGGTCGCGGTGTGTCGAGGATCCAAGAGGGCTGTGAGAAGAGTAGGTAAGCCGCGTGGTGTGTGTTGTGAATAGATGGCAAGGGACAGACTGCTGCTTGTCACTAAATTCGCCGAAGCATATGTCATCCGCGGCAAATTCCGGGGCATATGGCACAATTATAAAGCAGGTGCACTTGATTGGTTGGTAATATCCCGAAGCATCGGAATTCGGAATCCCAAGTCGGCTACAAGGGCAGGTCGCGCTATAGTCAGTCCACTTACGGTACCACGAAACTGTCACAAACAATGTTTGTGTATTTCACGGCTATATTTGAGTATATGTTCGCTGTATAAAATTACGAATATAATTTGTACGAATTATAGAAAGGAGCTCTGAGTACCTTTCTGCATACTTGGCGCAAGTCGGTCCAGTCGTGGACAACTAGACTGACATATGACCACGGACTCCAACCAGTCCAGTACGCGTCTTTCACATCAGAACCACGTCATTTAGAGTATCTCCGCAGAAAATCAGAAAACCGCTCAGGTGTCACCTCAGGATACTTTCCATTATCCACATCTTCTCCCAACCCAAACTTCCCGCTCAGTATAAAGTATACACCAGCACTAAATGTTCATCAGACCGCTGCCATTGTTTGAAGGAAGAGGAATGAAGGACAGAATACTTACTAGAGTGTATTCTCCGTATTGCCCTTGCCATCCAACGTTGCCTCCAAATCAGTCAAGGGCCCGCGTGATTCCATTGTGAGGTTGATGCCATGTACGGATTCGACGTCGGCGGCTAATTCACGGGCGCTTTTACGCTCGCCTCGGACTATATTTCCTTTGTCAGCAAAGTGAGCGTTGCAAGATGGGTGACTTGGTGTTTCCAACATTTGAAGAACCCCGTAGCGGCGGGATCAAGAGCCACAGCAGCGATATACTCTGCCGCCGTCTCATAACTCGTAAGGTCCCACTTCTCGTCTCCGCTGCCCCAGTAACTCATCTTCTTCCCCTCTTTGTCCACCACGCCGAAGTAGTCGAGAAACGTCTCCATGAAAAGGCCAACGAGGATATGTATCCCCGCCACACCCTCCTTCTTTTCGACGTACGCAGCGATATGCTTCATTGGCTCTTTAATCGCTAATTCGCCCCAGTCCAGATTCCGATAATCGCCTGTGTAGTCACTGGCTATGTACCGGGTGATACCTTCTTCTGCACATAGATCAACCAACAGTCTTTGTGCGGAGAGCATGGTCTCGTCGTCGGCGAAGTAGGCACACATTACCACGTCGCTGCCGCCTATCAAAGCACGAAGATTCTCTTTGTCGTAGGGTCCGCTTTGAATTAGGACTATACGGGGAGAGGCTTTGAGCTCGTCGGGAAGTTTGTTGATATTGCGGCAGGAGCCACGGATGTAGACGTCTGGTCGTTTCAGCAGTGCCTTTGTGACGAGAAGAGCAAGACGGCTGCTTATGCCAGCGATTGCTACGGTGGTGGGCATGTTTCTGAGTTTGTGCGGCGAGAAGGGAATAGTAGGAAAGAAGTGAAGTATGAGCTGGGACGAGGGCCAATTTGTTAGACTTCGATATGGCAATTATTGTTTTGCGACCTTTGTTGCTACAGTCGGATGGCTTTCCCAGGCTGGGAGTACGTTTTTGATGATCAGGTACCCCATACTTGGTTGTTTGCTTGTCCATGTGTCCCAATAGCTCGTCCGCGTTTAGTCCGGACGTCCCCTTGCGACGACAAGATACTAACTAAGCGGTCATTGGCATTCGAGCGGAACCGGAGCAAAGCGACGGAGTAAATATCCATGCGCTTACTGGATGAGGCTTGTTGGACCCGAGCATATGCCTTGTACTTGCGAGTTCTCTCATTCGAAAGCATTATCGGATCCGAATTCCCGTAAAACGAGGATCTTCCACATATCTGACGCGGCTGTAAGGCTCAAATACAGATTCCGATTTGGCCAGTGTGGAAAGGTGCCGGTAGTTTGCTGAAGAGTCCAACGTCCTCGGGTCGTCGAACGTACGAACAAGAGTCCACCGCATTGTGGCATCCACTTTCACCTGACTCTTTTGCTATTGGGCATCTCGACATTGACGCGGCTTCTCATGTATGCCTTCCATCTATGCTATCGACGGACTACCCCCATTGAATGTGCCCTTCGCCTTGACACACAGATCTCCACCCACACTTTCCAGTGTCGCAACGATCTCCTGTTTTGATCTTGAAGCCTCAGTCTTCTTCGTAAGATCCTTTTGAGGCGACAACCAGCCCAGCCAGCTCTTCGTAGGCTCCGCTTCAGGTTCCGGCGGCGGTTCAGACTGCGGGAGATCAGGTTTCGAGAAGCTCGCGCGGAGTATGTAGAAATCAAGGCTGTAGGTCGGTTTCGCGTAGGTTACACTGATGGAGTCTGGACGATGGACTGGTTCTGTCTCCTGCATTAGCACGGCTTTGTTCTGTATGATTGTAGTCGTTGAAAGTCGTATACTTACCGATAGCCCCTTCAGGTCCCCTGACCATCCTCGCCATAACCTCCTCCATGACGGTCGCAATAGCCCCTCCATGCGCAACACCCGGCCACCCAGCCAATCCGCCCCCTATCCAAACCACAGCCACCATCTCCCTCGTCTCAGCATTCCAAAACGCCCTCTGTACGCCCAATCCCCTCGTCCCACTCATGACCCCCAATATCCCCTCCTTGCCCCCATTCTCCCTCCCGAAACCCAAATCTAGTTCCAGCCACCCTTTATACGCCGATATCTTGCGACTCGAACCTGGCGGCGACGACGTCAAGCCTGGCCCCGATCGCAAGGCTGTGTCGGTATGGAGGTTGTACGACTGGGAACGTAGGGATTGCACTACTTCTATGGCATCGATGTCGCGGCGGAGGGAGTCGAGGATGAGCTCGTCTTCTCGGGAACCGGGTTCAGGGAGGCCGAGGGGCGCGGCAAAGTGGCGGGCACCGAGGCCTGTTGTTATTCCCAGGGCGAGGATGCTGGCGTACCAGAGGTAGGACCAACGGATTCGGGACTGGAGGGGGAGGGGAACGGAGTGGTGCGCATGGTAGCTGGTGGAGAAGAAGTTTTGGCGCAAGGTTAGGTAGGATGTGTTGAAGAAGGTGCGACTATAGAGAAGGCGCGCTTGAGACATGCTCGCGATTCGCTGCTGACCCAGGCGCAGCAATTGGAGAGCTTGAGATTTGGTGGACTTGGATCATGAAGATGACGCGAATTGAGGGCAGGGATGTCTTCACCGAGGCTGCATAGTAGTGGCTTGGCATTAGCGGGCACCTCGATTGCGTGTTCTGCATCGTTTTGTCAACTCCATCTCTATACCCTTGGGACGCGTTCATTTTCAAGCCCAATGATGTTTTGATCAACCGACACTACCCAAAGCTCTACACCTTGGCCCTAATGCATACGTTCGCTGTCTACTCACTCCATATGACACCGCCAACACTACGTTCAAGCGTGCTAAACACCATGTGCCTGAAGGTATACATGTCCTTCTTTAGATGGCAATTTTCGTGTTGTAGGAACTTCGCATGGCCTTCAGAAAATGACCCCATGCTAGTGGAGCATGTCATGAAATAATCGACATGTTTTCTTCCCGCTTTACATGTACCGCGCTGTTCACCCCAGAAGCTATCAGACAACAACGCGGCTTACAACATCACCATACCACAACATAAGGCTGCCCTCGACAATACATCTTTTTACATCTAACGATATCTCCCGTATACCTCACGACACCAACGGTCTCGGGGACATATACTCGCCGTGACTCGGAACCGGAGACTTCTTCCTGCTAACCACCTCCCTTCTCTTGTATAGCTCCCGTCTAGCAACGATGAAAACCCGCTTCTGGCCCCCGTATCGTGCCTATAGCAAACAAAGTATATGTAGCACTCGCCTCACACTCTCAGAGCCAACTTACCTATAGCTACTCTACTACTGCGTCAACCCCACCTTTTGCACCACCATCACTTCCAACGCTCCCAACCATGACCGATCCCGCACCTACCAAACCTCCCTTACCCGTCTTCGACCCGCAGAATTGCCAGACTTACCCAGCGAGTTGCCATTGCGGTATTGTACAGTACTCAGTTCTGCTCTCGCCGCCACTCGCTGAATGGAAGGTCGTATCGTGCAACTGCAGCATCTGCACGCGCAACGGCTACTTGCTCGTGTATCCTGAGCGATCGCAGCTACAGGTAAAGAGCGGCAAGGAGGTATTGAGGAACTATTCTTTTGGCGGGAATAGGAATTTGCATAGGTTTTGTGGCAGTTGTGGGAGTGCGGTCTGGTTTGATCCACGGATGGGCGAGTTTGGGGATGCGCCACCGGATTTGTTGGGAATCAATGTATGTGGTGACTGTGGAGATGGTCCTGTTAGTATCGAGAGCTAACCCCTGCAGGTCAGGATGTTCCATGGCGTTAAGATGGAGGAGCTAAATGTTGTGCATGTTGAAGATCCGAATCCGTGAAACTTGGGCAGTTGGCAAAATTCATGATGCGTGTAGCTCACCCATCGATTCTTCAAAGGTATACACCTGGTTTAAAGGCAATATGCGAGCGCCTCGGTGTCACTACAAACCTATAACAAGATCTCGCAGGCTTGTAAACTACATAACCACAGCGTGCAGAAGATATCATGCGTCCGATTAACCGGGCCACATATACATCATCAACTACATCACCACTCGGAGCGCTTCGAGCCGCCTAGCAGCTGATCATCTCCAGTAATCTCGTCCTACAAAGCAATATACTTGACACCACCCTCCACAAATTTTCACAACGCCTCCCCAAAAGCAAAAGCGACGTGACGACACACATTGCATTGCCTCCACCTTCGCATATATGCACAAGACGCATGTTTCATCACCATTGGTACATCAGCCAGTGTAAGCGCCTTTTCCCACATCGCATTCCCAGCGATCCTAACGGATGGTTACACGAGCGATCCCGTGCCACTTTTCCCATGTCCGGCAGTATGTGCGAGCGTCCATGGAGGCGGCTTTATGGTAATGTGGTAGTACGAGACATGGATCACTAGGTGTGGAGTCGCACGGTGGAAGGGATGAGGCGACGGGCTTTTGTGAGGGGTATGCCGTGGACTCTGGTTGGTGACTTGGTTCGGAGATGAGTGTGATAAGTCCTTGATGGATGAAACTTTGTGATGAGACGGTTTGGCATTAAGGTCCGAGATCTGAGAGTATGGAGCGGCATCTGTATGGGGAGGGGTTGGGAAAGGTGACTAGGGGTTGAGACTAGTCGAGTAGATGATGATTGTGGTAAGGTCTACGATTTCGTAGTAGGTTGTGCTGACACCAAGGAAAGCTAAGGTAGGGACTCCGCTATGGGAGCATTTTAGGGACATTGCTTATACGCTTACTGTCGACACGAACGTGAATGGGACAGTACGAGTATGATACCCGTGTTGGGAAATTGGAGCCAATACAATGACCAACCATACCACCGGCATCTATCTAGCGTGGTGTTTTCTCAACACTCAGTTTTCGCAAGCTGGGGAAATGCTTTCTTTACACTTCAGTATTACAACATTTGTGTAAGACGTTGAGACACTTGTTACATGTGTTTCCGCTTTCCAATTAACTCAACAAGATATTAAGCATGGATAAAATGGCACAGGTTTCTGGAAGCCTATATTGCTCCCATGAAACATCCAAAAAGCCGATGGTACACGCTCATGATCTTTGTGACCCTTCCGAGTATACGCAAAAACTCAGATACAGTGCGACATAATGCGTTGAAAAAAAAAGGATCCAAATGATGACAGCCTCTACCCATGTCGAACTCTTCTTGCAATGATGTGAGCATAAATTCTGACAGCTTCACCAGAAGTTATTCTCGCTTTTTTTCATGACTCTTATTGCTGTTGATACGCGTTATAAAACCCAGCTGAATACTCCATCTTCTTGCTCCACACCATTTAGTTTACAATTATTCTTTCCAAAATTGCGACGGCAAAGTAACATGCTCTTCCTCGTCTTTCGGAAGTTTCGGTTATCAATACGCTTTCCAGTCAGCCAAAACGAAGCCAGGTTCTGTTCATGAGTCCTGTGTCGGTCCGACCACATCTAGAATATCTTTCTATGGAGACAAATCTTTCACGAAAGAGAACCCAGCGGCCGTTCGATTGTCCAAAACAGGCGATGAAGTGGGCGATGATTTGAGGAGACGGTCAAAAAAGGTACGCGGTCTTTGCACTATGTGCTGTCCAAGTGGCCTTTGATCTATCGCTGCATATGTTCTTGACCGCTAGCGTCGTTTCTATGATATAAAAATCCAGCAACAAGCTTCCTCTGTTCCTCTTCATCATCCACCTGCGTCTACTATTTTGCAAAGATATCTCCTACCAAATTGCCATGTTCTTCCTCCTTTCGGACTTTCTGGAAATGATAAAACCCACCTCATGTTTCCGATCTGCAGAAGGGAGAATCAAAAACAGCTTCTCGTTGCCGGGATGTTTCTGAAGCACTTCAATTGAGTTCAAAACATGAAAATTCTGGCCTATGTCCTCCACTGAACAAGAAGCTGCGAACTACGCTTTCAATCATACACAGAAGCTAATGGAAGCTTGGAACGAGTTTGCGAGTTGAACACCCCCTAAACATTCAGACGGCTATCGAAAGAGCTTTCTGCCGCTCACTCATTTTTTGAAAATTATCTCGAAACACTCCGTCGACTGCTCCGTGTGTTGTCGAGATCGTTCATGGAGTGTGGAACTTGTCGTTTTGAGTTGTTGTTAACTTTCCATTACACACTCTGTATTCAGCCATCGCCAGAATATGACTACAGATACTCTTCATACCTGGCCTCATATGCTCTAACAACTTTCAAATTCCGAGACCAAGCTTTCATGAGTGAGCTCGCATACGCCGATTCCTTCACATTGTAAAAAGCAGACTTGTCAACAATCAAGCCAAGCAAGCTGGGTACCCCAGCTTGGCTTGATTGTTGGGTGCCTCTACTTCAGCTTAGCTTGATTGGCTTGGTGGGTTAAAACAAGCCAGCTTGATTGTTTGGCTTGATTGGCTTGATGGTCAAAGCGTTTTTGAGGCTATACAAATAGGTGGTATTGGCTATATCGTGACTTTTTTTAGAGTTGAGTTTCCGAATCGCTGTTAGTATTGCTGCTGTCTCCAACGTCCCACGCGCTTACGCCGTACAACGCCTCTATCTCATCGTTAGTTATAGAGTTTCTGTTGTTGAGTTTATCGTCGCCTAGACCAGCTGTACGCCACCGTCGTACGCACTGTATTGCCGCTAGAAGTCGTGGTTGTATACCTCGTCGGCGAGGCTCTAGGAGATCACCTAACTCGCTGAACATACGCTCACACTCGCGGCTCGACGCTGGGATAGACAGTACGTCAAGCGCAAGCTTGCTGAGTTGAGGATAGCGATCCTGCATTAATAACTAGTATTTTATTGGGTTGTTGGCGTACTCGCTGCCCTTCTCCACCCGCCGCTCGCACAGCTTCCACTGGGTATACTCGTCGTCAGCTGCCTTGTCGCTGTTGCTGGCAGTTGTAGGATCAATAATGCTGTCGATTGCGTCGTCTATATCGTTCGATAGTACCTTTAGGCGTCGTACAGCTGGTTGACTAGTATTGTATTAAGCCCACAAGCCGCGGAAACTGAGGTTGTTAGACTTAAGCTAGCTAGGTTTCTTAGTACCCTAGGATTTGTCGCAATACGATCGGTAATACGGGTGGAGTATCGTAGCTGCGTAGTAGGCGGGCGATAGGTCTAATTTAGAGTAATACTCGCTGGCTTTCGCCCACGCTGCGCGCATGTTAATCGCAAGGTGGTCCTCGGGCGCCTCGTCGTGGGCGTTATACTCAACGGCCTCGTAAGCTAGTACGCGCGATTCGTAGTAGTTGAGTATATACTCGAATACTAGGATGACTTTAGCGATACAGCTAAACCTCCCGCTGTTGCCGCGCCCCTTAAGGCGCTTTGTAGCAGCTTTCAGCGGCTTTAAAGCGTCTATATACTCCGTAACTACCGCCCAATCGTGCGTTGTAAGGCCGTCCGATCTCATCTAGTGTGGCGCGTGAGGCAGTTTGTTGCGCCGCGACTCAGCGTAGGTATCCTCGTCCCGTATACGCTTTATATGGTGGCTGGCGTACGCGTTAATCGCTGGTTGAAGCTGTACAGCGCGCTTAAAGCACGAGTAGAAGGAGTTCCAGCGTGTAATAATAGGCTTGACGGGCTCAAGGATCTTGCGTTTATCGGGAGGTGCGTCAGCTAGTAGCTCGCGATAGGCAAGGCGCTGAAAGTCAGCAAAAAGAGCGTATTGCTGTGGTGTTTTAATGTAGTTGACGATACCTAGGAGTACGCCTAAGGGCCCATCGCGCCTCCACTCGCTCATATACTCGCTTTCAGCAGTAATCTTAGCGGTATTGTTGTTGTACGAGGCACTGTTTTCTCCCCAGAGGAGCATCTGGCCGACAAGGTTAATTGTATGAGGACTACAACGGAGGCGGCGATGGCGTGGGTTGAAGCCTATTGTTAGCGCAATTGCGTCTATCGCGGTGTCGTTATTGCTTGCGTTGTCGAGTACGAAGTAGCCAATACGTTGAGCGTTTATACCGAACTCTTTCAACGTTTGGATAACAACCTTTGCCATCCTATGTCTACTGTGGGCGCCTGTCAACTGCGGCAGCGCGATAGGTAAGTCTACAATATCGCCTTGCTTGTCAACGTAGTGGGCAACGATACCTAAGAACCCACGCTTG